ACGTAGTTCGGGGAACTACAGATATGGGGGATTGTGCTCGACAAGGATTGTGGCCCTTGTGCCTACGTATCTTTACTTGAGAAAGTAAAGAATCAGAGCAGCCGTAGTTCGGCATACGATTCATTGATGTTTTTAGGGATGATGCTATCGTACGCATTCTAGCAGTTAGGTGTATTGCTGCTCGCTCGTTGGAGACTTAGGCATTACCTGTTTGCGGTAGAATGGACGTATCATATCCTTTTTGAAAGATAAGTTTTCGCCATGCGAGGCAAGATGTCACATTTGATTTTTTGAATTGTTTTTTAGGGGCGAGTTAGGTCTTCGGATAGTAACCCCTTGCGGGTAGTACCCAATTCTTTATCTCAAAGTTTTTTGTTATGAAAGGGTGTGGCGAACATAGTGTCTTCATATTGAATGACGAGTATCAAAACCACACACACTACAGTGAGCATCTCGACACTCGGAGAGGAAGGAGTCTACACTTAATCCTCTCTTTTTAGTTCAATACAAAGAGAACTTCATTCTCTTATTAAAGTGTTTTTGGTTTTGAATGGTAAGTGCTTTTGCGACAGAGAACCCTACGGTAAACGTCAGCACTCGGGATAGGAGAAGGCCTACGCCTAACCACTCCACGACCATTCAAATTTTTGTTATGAAAAGAGTTTAAAAATGCGCTCGGTACGGGACCGAGGTTTTTAGGTGACAGAGGTTACGGAAAGAAGTTGTAGAGGGAGATAGGTGGCGGATAAAGTCATGTCTTCGTATTGAAAGACGAGTATCGAGACCACCCACACTACAGTGAATATCCCAACACTCGGAGAGGAAGAAGTCTACACTCAATCCTCTCTCTTTAGTTCAATACCAAGAGAATCGATTTATTTATTGTAAATGTTTTGAAAATGCACTCGGTACGGGGCCGAGATTTTTTAGGAGAAAAAAGGTGTGGATGAAAATGTCTTCGTATTGAAAGACAAGTATCAAAACCACCCACACTACAGTGAGTATCTCGACACTCGGAAAGGAAGAAGTCTACACTCAGTCCATTCTCTTTAGTTCAATACAAAGAGAACTTTACCCTTTTATTAAATATGGTGAATTGGCTTAACAATCGTTTGAGAAAATCCGCTTGACGTTGGGTCAAGGGTTTAATTGCTTAAAAAGGTTTGAGGTGACACGAACAAGGTCGATGGCGGACGCACAAGGCGGCCGACTTACATGGTCGAAAATGGCCCGATAAAATTGAGAGTTTGTTTTTTTTGAAAATGGTTATGTAATCAAGAGTCAACAAAGACAATAGCAATATTCACACTAAAACCATGCAAACATATGGGTTAGTCGACAAAAAAAAAATCGAGACATGCGGAAAAAAACGGGGCAAACTCCTTGAAAAAAAAATTTTAGGTAAAAAAAAACAACAAAAAAAAAAGCATAAACAAACTGATCAGTTCGCGCCGCAAAGGGTGTTCGCGCCGTGAACTGAGAAAAGTGAACATTCTGTTTTTTGCATGTTCGCGCCGCGAACTGAGAAAAGTTTTGATTCTGTTTTTGACAGTTCGCGCCGCAACCTGAAGCGAAAAATACAGTATTTGATGTATTTTTTGCTGTCTTTTGTTATTTTCTTCCTTTTTATTGGTTCTTTAAAAATGGTTTTTTGGTCCCCTTAGAATCTTACATGGTATACTTAGTACAACAACACTTAAGATAAAAGACAAATGCAAGATATAAAGAGGGAAAAGTTTAAAGAAATGGATACCCCAAGAGCTTTTATCCTTCTCGCGGATACTCCACTGGTTTTGGTTGGCTGTGCTCCCCCTCTTCACTCTATATGGTGAAAGTTTTGATCTTCAAGGGTTCCTTGTCTTTCTATGGAACTCCTTTTTTGGTTTTCTCTCTTACTATTTTTCTGGTTTTCTTTGCAATGTGTGTTGCTCTCACTATTTTCTGTTTTTCTCTTCTCTTTTACTCTCTCAATGTTGTGTATGTGAATGATAGTGAATGAATAGATTTGTTTGTAGCTCCTTCCTTTTGTTGACAGCCCCTTTCCCCCCTCATCTCACTTTTTCTGTTGTACCAAACCAATGGCTCTTGCACAAGCTTCAATTTTCAGAATTTCCATTCTTGGCAACAATTATGGCCACTTTCTTGGTGCAGCCCCACTTTTTCCACTTCTAGTATGCTGCTTTTGCTGTATTTTTTCTGCAGCACTCCACCTTGCTATCCATCCTTGTGTCCATTGGTTGGTTATGCTTGGATATATTCATGTAACTAACACCACTACCTTTTGGACAGAATTTTCAAATTCTGATTTTTTGATGTGTAGATGTATCAACATAAGCTTATAGCCTTGGTTTTGTGACATAAAATGATTTTGTAATATGATGCACATTGCCACTTCTTGCATGGAGCTGTTTTTTGGTCCATATTCAAATTGCCCATGAATGTATGCATAGCCTTGATCTTGAGATATTCCAACATTGAATTAGCTCTTAAATATTTTCCTTGCATGTTTGTAAGCACAAAGAGGACCATGTGGACTTGATGAGGCATGGGGGATACCATGGCATGAAGTTATTTTTAGAAACTTGAATTAAGACTAGAAATAGCTTAATTTCCTAAGCATTACCAAGAGTTTGGATTTTGTAACAAATGTGACATTCTTGCAAATGTCATGAAATTTTTCTTTTGAATCTAGCCTCAAATTCATGAGCCTTGAATTTGGAATGATGGGCCTCCCTTATGTCATTAAATTTGAAAGAAATGAAGAAATGAGTCAAGCCTTGAAAGAGGGCAAATTTTGGGGTGCAACACATACGTCTACCTCTGACCGAGTTTTCATCTGGCGGAGGGAAGGGGAACTAATATTTGGTTGGGAACAACCCCAATGACGACCAATTAACTTTGAAGGAAGACCTCGTAAGTTCGCAAAGAACTAGAGTTGCACACTGGGGATCATACAAACATGCCTCAAACAAGTATTAAAACATGGAATAAGACATCTCTTTTCAACCTCCTCCACCAGATTACCTCCACCTAAATATCCCAGATTGGTGATAAGCTTCACTAGTCAGGCCTTTTGATACTGATCCTCATCAAAAAGGTCCATGTGTCTTATACATACATGTGTCCCCCTATCATGAAGTAACCTCCAGTCTAATATTTAGGAACAACTCAATTCATCTTCCTTCCACTCTATTCTAGATAACAAAAACCCAACATGAGCCTCGGGATGAGTGGGGATGACCATGAAGAACCAGTCTTCAAAGGACGGTAGATCTTTGAGAGGTTTAAAGTTGCACACGGTTTGATCCAAATGTATCAACCCTCAAATACACCTGCATGCCACGAGACTACGATGACATTTAAAGAGATGAAGGAAAATGGTCACTGAGGGTTTTCCTTTATGGCACTTACACTAATACTAGTAGAACTTCACATACGCCTAACTTACATAATGAAGTTGCGAATGAGCTCTTATCAGGTCTTCAAAACGTCTACCTCAAAGGTAGTAAAAGGGAGACAAAGACCTAAAAAAGAGAAAGTACGCTCATAATAAAGAATGGTGCAATCACCATATTGGCTACATATTCTTTCATTTTCAATGGGACTCAAGAATCCCCAGTGGAAAAGTAAGCCAACTTCAGTGAAAGCATCATCAAGATCGCCCACTTTAGAGAAACCAGAAATGGCAAAAGAGTAAACAGAATCCACCTAAGGAAATTGAGTATTCTTCTGGGACATGTGAATACTTTTATGTTATTTCTTGTTTGTGTTGCACTAAATTTACAGTCGCAGGAAAATGAAACGCTAAAGAAGAACGTAACTGTTAGACTTAGAAAAATGTATATAAAAAATATGTATATAAAAAATATCTAAGGCTCAAAATTTAGAGTCAAAAATATGATCTAATACTTGATCTGAAGGATAAAAAAATTTGTATGAATTTCAAGAAAATCCATAAATGAGAAAATTATCGTAAAATTCAAAAAGATAATTCAGCATCTAGGAAGATAAAGAAAAAAAATTTAAGAACATTTGAAGAATTTTCATCGTCTTCATCCTTATCAAAAAGACGACTTGAAGAAATGATTGAAAGATCAACACCAAAAATATCATTTGAAAACACAATCACTATAAATGAACGATCTTCTCAAGAATCAACATTTATAAGAACGAATGAAAAATCAACATCTAAAAAAACCTTTTCAAGTTGGAACAGGAGTTTATGATCCGGGCAATGCAACTCTTGGCAACCACATACTTTCACTTTCTGATGTCACACACGGCATGTCTCGTTCACATCTACAACTAAAACTAAAGTTCATATGATTGTTTTAAGAAAAAATAATATGTTCTTCAGTTATCTTTTTATATTTTAATTTAACTTATTTAGTTAATAGTCGTTCCCAAATGGTCTATACTAATTCTGCAAAAAGCAAGTCATACATATGGAACCATTGTAACTAAATTGTCAGTTTACTACTCTTTTTATCTCATTACTTTTGATGTTCAGCCCAATCTTTCAAATCTCTGCATTAAGGACTACATTAGTGTTTTGGCAGCTACCATGCCCAAGAATATGGTGCACATGTAATGAAATATGTATGCTACCATTATGAATTGACTTGGACATTGCATATCTTAGTGTTTCTTAGTAAACATCACTTATATGAATATACACGTAAGGGAAGTTGAATCAAAATATTTTAAGGCCATCAATGATAATGTGTAACATCCCTTCATATCTTTCTCATTGATATATTCAAACTAAAAACAACGAATCTAAGTATATATTTATATATGCTTTATTGCATAAGGCCAATTACTATATACATGGAGAATATCTGCTACAAACTAATTCACATTAGCATCAAGTAAATAACATTGCCATTTACTAGCAATCGTAATCTAGCCTATGAAGCCTAAAAAATAAAGAATGGGCGGGACTGAATGCCTGTCGCAAAAAGGGAACATAACATAACAAAAGGGGAAGGTCCAATTTATTAGATGGGAGCAGCACATGTGGTTCTAAAGTGACCTGTTTGATTGCAGCGACTACAATGCACCACTCGCTTAACACGCCCACGATCTTCTGCACGAACTCTCTTCTTTCTTGGTTGTCCAAGTGGTCTGAGAGATTTAGGTGGGTTGATTATAACTTCAAGAGCTTGGCTAGCATTGGAATCTCCCTCAGACAACTCCTTCCAGAGAGATTTGTCAGGAATTGGATGTATGGTTTGTGAGTATGTCTTGCGATAAGTTGCGACAGTGAAACAGCTTTCTGTGAATCTATGCACATTCTGTCTGCAGGAGAGAAGTGCTGCCACAGCATGTGCACATGGCAAGCCATAAAGCTGCCAACCGCGACAAAGACAGCAGCGATTCCTTATATCAACTATATTAGTTCCCTCGTGAGATATAATTTCAAACTCAGCTTCGTTGGCACGAAGTACCTGATAAGTTTGCGCACGTTCTAGAGCCTCTGCAACACATCTTTCCGCAGAAGGAACAAGTACAGATGTCCACTGCATACTGGTTTCTCGGCGCTCATTAAACCAAGTCATAAGCTTCCTTCTAATGAATTCCATCATTTGAATAATTGGAAGCCCGGATGCTTCTAATATCCAACTGCTTAAAGCTTCAACGATGTTGGCTGTTGTATGACCAAACCTTTGGCCCTCAAAATAAGCAGTAGCCCACAGACGAGGTGGAACTCTTCTAATCCAATATGCAGCATCTTGTGATATCTCTTCAATTTTAAAAATTTTAGCTTCAAATTCATTTACAGTAAGAGCATTGGCTGCTTCCCATAGAAGATTGACCAGCATAGTGTTATTAAATTCCTTAGAGAAGCTGTCACTCAAGTAGCGCATACAAAATCCATGAAAAGCAGAAGGAAAATTTACTTCAACGCCGTCTACAATTCCCTGCTGCCTATTAGACAAAATAGTAAGCCTTGGCATGTTCTCAGTATTAATCTCAAGCAGGTTATGAAGTTCAGAGAGAAACCACGTCCAATTATCATCATTCTCCTCGTCGACAACACCATATGCAAGAGGAAAAAGAGCCCCGTCACCATCAAATCCAGTAGCAAGAAGTAACGTACCAAGATACTTGCTCTTTAAATATGTCCTATCAAGCCCCAAGAGAGGCCGACAAGCATTTAAAAATCCATAGATAGATGCTTGGAAAGAAATAAATAGGCGTTGAAAGCAATTATCAGATGGATTTCCATAAACAGATGCAATACTGCCCGGGTTTGTGCGTTTCACTTGTGCACAGTATTGTGGAAGCAAATGATACCCTTCTTCAAAAGACCCACGCATTGCAGCCATGATACGCTCCTTGCCTCTCCATGCTTGCTTGTACGTTAAGGTGATACCATGAACCCTATGAATCTCTTCCAATATCTCCTTTGGCTTGCAATTAGGGTTCTCCATCAGCCTTTGCTCCACAGAGCTGGCAACCCACTGAACTGAAGCTTGCTGATGACCAAGATGAGAAATTCCTCCACATGTATGACTCTCATGAATTGTCCTAATGCTAAAAGTTGGAACCCCGGGAAGCTTTGCTGCATGAATGCGCCAGGGGCATCCTTCACTAGCACATTTAGCAGTAAAGCGTGTCTTGTCAGATTTAATAGTCTGCATCTCAAAGTGCAGAGCAATTGCTGTATCCCTCAATGCCCTTCGACAACTCTTGACATCGGGAAATTCTTGGCCCACCGACAATTCATAAGTCGGACTTATATCAACTTTACGAGCCTGAATCACATAGGGTTCAGAAGAAACCATATACTGAGACGGATGAACACCCATATCATTGGCAGAACCAATGCTCATTTCTGGATGCTGAACCACAGCCATGTCAATGTTCTCGTCAAGTCCTTGGCCTTCCGAAACAGTCAGATCATTGTCACCCGGAAAGACCAAATCATGGTTTTGTCCAGGAAAGGACAACTCATCTTGTTCATCAAGCTCAGGCTTTTTATCTATAGCAACCTTATGGTTATCCTCATAAGCTTGACCATCATCACCTTCTTGATCATGGTTTAGTTCCAACCCAAATTCACATTCATCAGGATGTTCCAAGCCTAGTTCATGATCATGGGTTTCTCCCAAGCTCAATTGATGCTCATGAGCTGATCTCAGTTCTAAAGCATGGGTCTCGCCGAGGCCCAAATTATGATTATGATCGAACACTGATTGCTCCAAATTGTGACTTTGACCAAACATCATATCTTGGTTGGCCTTTGAAGACATAAATCACTACTCCAACAACATAAAATTACACACCCATTACCCAGAATGGAATTACCCGTAAAAATTAAAACTTTACTAAAACCCAGTCGAATTATCAACAAATGAAGAAAAATCAGAGTGAAATTACCTGAGGTGGTTCACCATATCCCAAAAGGGTATAGAACCATGAAGAACATAGTGTTGAAAAAGATACTAGAACGTTGAACGCAGATCGAAGGAGAGGAAAAGGGGGGTTTATGGATTGACGGAGAAGGAACGAGTGTTTGAAAAGAGGTTGGTGAAAATTGGCGGGGAAGTGGAGAAAATCGGAAATAGAAGAAGAAGGGTAAGGAGAAGAAAGGTTATATGGTTGTTAGGGTTGAGAAGGGAAAATCAAGATATGAGGCTATGCACAAAAAGAGGGTATTTAGGTCAAACAAATACAACCTCTCTTTATTTTAATTTCTCTGAATTACTGTTCTAGCCTTTACTATCTTTTATATTTATATATATATATACACACGCGTACTTTTTAAAGAAAATTTCTCATCTTGTCCCGATGTATGATATTATGAGAAAATAGAATATACATCGATATATATTGATATATCATACTATAAATTTTATACTATCAACCAATCAATATCTATACTCTACTATATCAAACTATAAAATTTTAATTAATTGTATGACATGACAGATTGATGAATTTTTATTACAGGATAGTGTAAAATTATTTTCATACCAATTAAACTATATTTATATATAATAGATCAATCAATTCAATCAAATTTCATTAAGATTGATCAGTTTGATAGAAATAGTAAAATTCTAAATTCTAAATTTCATATATGTTTGTATCGGGTAGATAGATTTTAGATGGAGTGTTTGTGGAAAAGGAATTGATAGATTTGGCTAAAAGAGAAAAAAGAAGTTATATGATATTAAAGGTTGACTTCGAGAAGGCTTATGATTGTGTAAGCTGGAATTATCTAAGAAGCGTTATCATAAGGATGGGAGTTGGTATGAAATGAATGGAGACAAGTGTATTCTTAAGTAGCATGTCGGTTATAGTTAACGAAAGCTTCCCGAAGATAATAAAGAGGCCAACGTAACTAAGCGAAGGGTCTGCTCCTACGTCATAGTCCAAGGAAAACTCTACCGTCGTGGATTCTCCATTTCCCTCCTAAAATGTGTTAAGGAGGACAAGGTCCTGAACATTCTCCAAGAAATTCACGATGGGATCAACGCACAACACTTAGGAGGAAGATCCTTGGCGTGGCCAACCATGCAGCATGACGCGAAGAAGCATGTCAAGAGGTGCGACAAATGCCAACACCACGGGGACATGCACCTAGCAACCCCCCCCCCCCCTAACGAATTAAAGAACATGTCATCCCCATGGTCTTTCGCCTGGTGGAGAATGGACATACTTGGCCTCTTCACCGTAGGATCCTATCAGAACAACTTTCTGATCGTGGTCATCGACTACTTCACAAAGTGGATTGAAGCCGACACGAACTTTCTCCTCGATGCAGCATGAGTCGGGGACGCAGTTATTCTTTTAGCAGGTCACAGAGCACGAGCGACGAAGACAACATTCGTGGTCCCCTGTCAGGAAATCATGGACACCTACATTCCTCGCGGGCAGGAGAAACCTCCCCCTCTGACTCAAAATGATGGTACCACTAATCCTAGTGACCACATAAAAAACATTAAAGCCATACTACACTACCACAATGTCACTGGGGGAAATCAAATACATGATATTCCCCATAACCCTCAAGAAGGGGGCTATGACTTGGTATAAGAGCCTTCCTCGGGGCTCAATCACGTCCTGGAGGAGTCTGAAGGAGTAGTTTTCCCGACACTTTACTGCCTTCAAGCGTCGTCCAAAATCTGAAGCCAGACTTAAGGATATCATCCAAGGCAGGGACGAACCTCTTTGTGATTGCGTCGACATATTCACTAAGGAAGGGGTCAAAATCCGCACAACCGACCACATGAAATATTACCACAATAAATGGACAACATACAAGGCTTTTCGTTCAGACAATTTATCAAACACTTGGAGTGCAGAACACTACAAATGAGTTCAGCTTTGAGTAATTTGCTATATTTTCCTTGTACAATCAACGATTGTACTAGAGTAAAAAACAACCCAACACTTACTTAAAACAGTCATAAATTTGATATAATTGCTTGTACTAAAACCACACAAATATTAAGCAATATAAAAATGAAAGGTAAAAGGCACAAGGATTTGTCGAGGCAGTTCCCTCGTCGTCCTCGCTTCGGGGTACGTCTGCCCTCAATTCTAACAATAGAATTAAGCTCTTATAATATAAATTTTACTTGTTATAGAATCGTATATATAAGAATGAAATAGCAATCAAACAAACAAACTCCTTTGTTGTTGTAGAAGCTATCTCCTCTTGTCCCTTGATTTGAGTCGAATCAAGTCCTTTGACAGCTTGTGTATGAACCTTCGATTACAGCTCTATGTTTGAACAACCTTCCGTCTTCAAACCCCAGCCCGACTGATCTCAAACACTCGCGTGTCGAACCCGAACTTCTCCTTCACAATTCACCGATTACCACTACTAGACCGACGGAACCCACCGCTCCTCGATCACCTTCATTTGGCCGAATATATGTTGAGAAGACTCGTCCAAAAACCCCCAAATTCAAAGAATCTTGGAGGACAAAACCCTAGAGGTTTTATTCAAGAAAAACCTGTCAATTCCTCAACCCGAACCGGATTACCCAATCACGGCTTCGAACATTATCACCTTAGACAATCCATAATGCACAACAAAGACTATTGTGTGTGATTGTTGTGGTATGAAATGTAGAAGATGAAGATGATGAGAACTTGAATTGACACTTCTTTCACTTTTCTTGTTTTTGTAATTGATTCAATTGATATGAAATGAATAGAGCAATTGAATATTTATACCAGACAAAATTGTTATAACTGATAAAACCAACTTTCGAAAATAATAGACAAATCAGAAAATATGCAGCAAACAGCGAGCGGTCGACCCATGCAGAGTGTAGGGTCAACTTGAGCTAATCCGAGGAAAAATATTGTGCAAAACACACAGATATGCGTCGACCGGAACAAGACCATGCGTCGATGCAAAGCCTGAATTTTTAGATAGATAGAAATGCTAACAGTATGCGTCAACCAGTGGGTCGACCATACCTAACCCGAGGAAAATGCAAGTTTGAGACGCTTACAATGAGTCGGCCGGAGCAGAGGTATGGTTGACTCAAAGACCTATTGTTAGAAAATGCCTAATTTTGATGTTTTTGACACTCTTAGATGATACCTATGACGACCAATGAGTTTTAACTCGTATGATGCATATTTTAACAATACTCTGTGTAGTACTAGAGTATTTTGTGCAAGCAAATGAAACATGAGAAATATGATGTGCTCGTGTATTATGGTGATAATGTCAAACATCTCTTCTTCTATGCGGCTAAGTTTTGACATCATCGAAATACGCATATCAAGTACCCGAGGCTTTGCCCTCACATGTTCAACTTCAACTTTTAGTGCAATAGAAACATCAACAACGAATATTCAAAACATCATTATAAGGTATTATAGTTAAACGAAACATCAAACATAACAAAACACATACACGTTCCACCCCCGGTGTTACACATCAGAGCAGACACCGACTTAATGGAAACAAAAGGAAAAGCACACTCTTCCACTCACATCTACGCCTCTATTGCAGATTACCTATACGATGCCCATGTAAAAGCAACATTCAAATAGAAGGATGAAATATCATAATTATATAAAGAAATGCATATTAATAAGTAAACATCAGATTATTACATGCATAACTACCCATTCCACCAATCACCATTCCACACAAATCCAAACACAACATCAAAATATATATGCAATGCAATGAGACTCAACAATTTGCCACAATGCATGTGGTACCAAATTGTAAACTCTCAGGTTCACTCGCTCCAATCCCCACCTAAGATCAGTGCACACCAAAATAATAATAATAATAATAATAATAAATTTCACTACTTATTTAATTTAAATAATTTCCACCTATTATGAAATTAAATAAATATTAACTAATACCAAATAATTAGTTCTACTCATAACACCCCCAATCTCTACACTTTTACTCACCCCCAACACCTTAATTTTTCTAATTTATAAGGTCACTATTCTACACCAAGGATATCTCAAACACACCAAAATACTAATCAACACACACACACACACACACACACACACACACACACACACACACACACACACACACACACACACACACACACACACACACACACACACACACACACACACACACACACACACACACACACACACACACACACACACACACACACACACACACACACACACACACACACACACACACACACACACACACACACACACACACACACACACACACACACACACACACACACACACACACACACACACACACACACACACACACACACACACACACACACACACACACACACACACACACACACACACACACACACACACACACACACACACACACACACACACACACACACACACACACACACACACACACACACACACACACACACACACACACACACACACACACACACACACACACACACACACACACACACACACACACACACACACACACACACACACACACACACACACACACACACACACACACACACACACACACACACACACACACACACACACACACACACACACACACACACACACACACACACACACACACACACACACACACACACGCACACAATTTAATTACAGAATTTAAATTAAAATAAATGGGGTGTTACATGAACGAAACATTTTTATTATGTTTAGAGTCAATGCTGAATTATGTGGTTTAAAGTCTAATACTTTATTTGTGAAATTTGATTTTTAAGGTTTATTATGTTAATTTTGCTGCATTTTGTTAAATGTTTCAAAATTTTTTAGAGGT